TGTTTCTTTATTTTCCTTATTTCTTGTATTACAGCATTAATACCAAGTCATGATGGACAAATTTAAAGATACAAATTTAAAAGTGTTAAGGTAACTTGACATTGGCTGGTTGTGATGAGAATACAAATGGATCCTGAGCCTCTCTATTATGACAAGTCTTCTATGTTGGAGGTCAAGCCGAAGGTCAAGAAGTTGAAGATGGACAGGTAATTACATATCTATCATTCTGTTATCTTATATTAAATATTTCATTTTTACTGGTCTGTTTCACATATCTATTGCATAATCATTTGGTGGGCATAAAAAAATATCCATTGTACTGATGGACCATAACTTTCTCCTGGAAGGACACCAGATGTTACCAAAGTTACAACTGGTACCTATTTCTATAGCTAGGTAGACTGTAACGGTTGAGGTAAATATTTTTGTTAAATTGCCAGATTTGTCATCTGTGAACCCAATTAGAATTTGCAGCCTTAAGTTTTCAGTCATTGTGATGACTCATTTTAAGTGTTCTACTGTTAGTTAATGTTTTAGAAAGTAATAAGAGACAATAAGATCAGAAAGTGAAGAAACATTGATTATTATGATAGACAGAATCTGAAAAAAAACATAAAAAGTTTGAATGCTGTTTTTGTAATGGTACAATAGCTTATTTGAAGTCACCAATGTGAACATATAGCAGATTTATTCAAGGATACTAAATGAATTAGAATTCAAACGCGCATTGTTTATCTGGAGACAGCCTAGGTTTACAAATGTCTATATAATATTTACATGTGTCAGCACTCGTGAAGATACTTGATAAAATAGAAACATATATATTATGAAGAGATCAAGCTTCTGGCTTCTGTTTTTGAAAACCAAAATGTATAAATGCTTAGATATTGTTTTTGAGGCTGGCATTGATATGTAAAACAATCTTGTGTGCATCTGATAAATTGTTATAAATGTTAATTTGTGTGCATTTCACATGAAAATAAAGAGTTCAAGCTGGAGAGAATCAAAATGTACATGAGAAAGTCAACCTCTGTTCTTAGAGGAAAAGATTTGCGTATTTGAGATAAGCATATCACATGCCGTTAAGGACACTAGACTGTTAGGATATTTGCGATTTTATGATTTTATACTAAGGGTGGACTAAAATATTGCAATCACCAATATATTATGTATATGTGTAGCAATAAATTTCAATATTATAATGAAATGACAATTTAAGCATATTGCAATAATATTTTAAATGAATTTTTAGTGCTTTCAACACTTTTATGAAATTAAAAAACAAAATGAATTAATTTTATCCATACCATTGAAACTTTCTGAACAAATGTTCAGTTTTCATTTATTTTATAGAAAATGATTTTGAATACATGTATTAATATCTCAGAATACAAAATATTGTGATATATTGCAATATTTCCTAAAATATTGCAATATGCTGCAATATGAAAATAGCTTGCACTACGAACCCTAATTCTATACTGGAGTATATCTATAGACATTCTAATATTAATATTAAATATTAATTCCTACTATAATTATAACTGCAAAAAATAAAGATGGTACGGTGTTGTGAGTTTCCATGGATACCCATGACAAGGCCAGCTTATCATTCCAGAGACAATTATTCATTGCAGACAAGATGACTCGGAAATTACTGTCTGGATGCCAGGCCGATGATTCTGTATGACCAAATATGGCTGCCGAACATTTGTTGTTCCTCTCCCATTTATTCAGATTATGACAACTTCATCTCCGATATTGGAGAACTAATTCTTTGAAAAGTACCGGAGAATTTATACAAGAAGTAAAAGGATTTCCTTTGTCATGTTACTATGGGAACCAGATTAATGGTAATGTCCAATCTACAGGAAACAACTCAGTGGTAGGTATAAATGTCCTGTTGGGTATTAAGGTCATATCTGCAAGATATGAACACTTTTCAAAAAAGCAATCACATGTATACAGCTTGTCTACTAATATGTAACATCGTAAATGAATTGTGGACATAAAAGTAAGTAGCATGTACGTCTCTGTCATAGCAATATAATATCAAATAAATCTGAATGTCATGCAGCCATTGTCATCAATCTGTCATCATGCTTCATCTGCTGATGTCATTCGTTTACATTTTGAAACTGTATTTTCTAACTTTTCAATATTTTCAAAAACAAATTGAAGGATATTTCACCTTAACATGACAGGGACCATGCTTAAGTCTTGGGGATTCTGAAGTTGTTACGATGGTGACTTAAAGGGACTCCATAACCCATATGAAAAGGGAAAATGTTATACAAATTCCTCTGAAAACTGTAGATGTCAGAGCTTTCACGTGTACAAACGCCTAGGCATAGATTGTAAATTAAAAGGCTCTTGCCATATCCCTTAAACTCAGAAGAAGGCCGCAATAACTTAAAGGACCAATATATTAATTCCACGTCAAATTTAAAATAAACACGCAAAGACTGGTTTGGGACATGGATAATCATGGTAATTTATTATGCAATAATATGCAATAAATACTTATGCGAGATAAGTAATATTGTGCAATAATATATAATCGCCTAAACAACGGAAGATGACATATGTGTATGGTCATACAATGACCTTGACATATGCCCCGCACATGAACCCAAAAGCTGTTCAAGTAATATATATAAATAACAAGTAGAATTATCATGGTTCTCCTACTAGCTACATGACCTAAGCTACAGAAAATATAACTGAAAACATGGGAGGGAGGGAGGGAGCCACCAATATGTCATTCGACAAAGTCTGCCATTAAAGTAAATACATATCTTCAAATAGAATTGCCACATACATGTTGCTGGGTCAAATCACAGATGAACACTGGCATTTGAATTTGAAAAGCCCAGCCACCCCTGCAACTGATGCTGACCCTATGGGGTGTAAATGAGAGGCTCACTGCAGGGTAAAGTGGCCTATTATGTGAGATGGCTTCTCAAGCACTAGGCTCCCTCCTCCTTGAATTAATACACAATTACCAACTTAATTATCAAAATAAATTGAACAGTAATCTAAAGAAATTGGTATAAATACTAAGGTATATATATATAGCTCTGAATCTTTCAGTATCTATGGAGTAGCTGAAAACAGCTGAAACTATCTTGATAATAATACTTGTTATGGTCCTATATAACACACATTGCCATTGATGATAAACTACATAAAGCCTGCTAGGGCTTTATGCAAGTTTGTCAGGTTTTTAATAATAATTTTTCTCATGAAGAACTTTAAATATCAGAGCTGATTGCTTCTGTTTGTGGAAAGTTTAAGCTAATGAAGAACATAAACTGTTTGTACCCTTAGACACAGAGAAAGGCCACAACAAAGGGTGATACTGAGTGTGTCGGGAACACTCGGCACCACACCTCCAAAGTGAACAGCCATGGCAAGAACACCATCCTTGCTTCCTACGTACTTGAGAGTTCCTTGACCGCTAGTGCTGCGTTCTTGGGACTTTGTTGACGTCGTCATTATTGATGAAGCAGAAGACTCGAGGGTTCGTTTTCCATCTTGTACTTTTTCAAGGGTCTCTGTGTAAATGTTTCCTTTGTTTATATTTTGCCCTGATCTAGCACTCTTTGGTCATACTAATGGCATTTATATCATGTTGTTTCGTTGTTACAAAAACATCTTTCCACTTTCTTTGAACATGATGATGTTCCCCTTTCATTCATTTCCTGCTGTTTGTCTAAAGCAGTTTTTGTACCATATACATCTGGGTCAGTGTCAGTGCTGTTTTTGTTATATTTGTCTTTTTGAGCCTTTTGACCTCTGCAACTCTCGGGAGGCTCTTGGGGTGTTTCTCTTGTTGTATCGCAGCTGGGTTAATGGTGCCCTGTTTCAAGGGCTGCACGTTGGGCTGTCATTCTGTAAGAACTGTCAGAACTAGTACTAGTTCATAGAAAGGCCTAGGCATTTATAATTAGAATATAATCTGTTCATGCATGTCACCTCCCTTGGAACCCTAAATGGGACTACAATAAGTAGGTTTGAGTTGTATAAAGAAATGTGTCATAAACTGCTAGTTCTGTTACATAGTTTTACAGGTCACTTCAGACTTTGGCAAATTTTGTATTTGCAGTTTTTCGAACAACTATTTAACTGATTCATACTAAATTTCGTACAGAGGTATACCTTGGTGAAATTGACATTCAAGGTTGATCAAATAGGGACCAAATAGGGACCCAAAATCCAGGGGACTATTGTGGCAAACCTTTTAAATTCTTCTTCATTTGATCCACACCTGCTATTATTCAGAGTTTGTCTTTAGACATTAGTTTTTCCAGACTACTGTATATAATTAACTCCTAAAGTACTGCATAGATTTCAATGACACTTTCTAAACTTTTAACACATACCACTTACTAGATACTGTAAAAGCCTTTCTTTTTGTGGTCTCTTAATTTTCACAGTATCATATAGCTGTCAGACCTCCCTCATTAGCAGGGAAACAGTCCTCATTTTGACCAAAATATACCAATCTCCCTCGAAACTCCCTCATTCAAGTCCAAACTCACACAAACTCAAAATCTACATCCTGCAGGGTATTTGTAATGATAATAACAGGTGTGTCTAAAACAAATTAATGCTTTTGGCGATAAATTGAGCAAAGCAGTTTCAGTGGCATTACACGCACTTTCTCCCTCATTGGAAATTTGGAATGACGAACATCTCCCTCATTAAAAGCTTCAGAGGCAAAATTGCTAAAAGGGTAAATTTCACAGAACCCATTTTTCATGAATTTCAGGTTGTATCAATGGAGAATTGGAGACACAAATTGCTGGTATATATATGGCCTGATTTAAAGGATACATGATGTCTCCTACTACCGGGTATCAATGATCAATAGAAAAACAAATCTCTTTGATTTAGTCGTTTACATCCATTGGTCACTTGTCATGTTGTCATTGATGTAGTCGTTTACTTCGAAGCTTAGGTTGTCATGTGTTCTACAGGTGTGTTATCTGATTTACCTGTGTCGGCTGGTGAGGATCTGAGGGACTGAATTCCTAAACACGTCTCTCTGGTGAAGCATGCCGTCAGTAATTCATTCAGCCATTGAAAGATCCAAGAGGTGTCGGTGAAAACAGGTGCAAACATGTTTAATTGGTGTTTACTGCTTTGATAAAAATGTCAATATTTATATCATTAATTAAAGTTAGTAATGCATTATATGCATTTTGAAAATGTTTCATTTTGTTCATGAATAATATTTACCTCTTAGTGTCTAGGGATTTGTTTTTACCCAATATGTGATGACAGTCATACCAGGTATCCTGAATATATAACTGTAAGGGGCATGTTTTAGTCACATTATAGGGCCATTGTTAGGTAGTTTATTGGAATATAACTGTACACGGATGAATAAACAAAATTAATCATTATTACATACTCTGGCAACTTAACATAATTGAAAAAGAAAAAATACTATATATTAAATTTATTACCTTAACATTGAAAAGGTTCATCAAAGGAGAAGGAATATTGGAAAACTTGAATATTTATTTCATTTATTTTTTATCAGAGTTAAAGAAACATTGCTTTGATATGGTGAAGACATTTACTTCAGACTACGTGTTAAAATCACAGGAAAAGTATACAAATATGAGTGCTATTTTTTTTTTTGGAAAGGTGAATAAGTGTAAACCAGCTATATAAAATTATATGGTATACTTTAATTAGATAATATTTGCTGTGCTTTTGATAATGAAAGAGAAAGAAAACTTATGAATTTTTTTTCTGTACTTCCAGAAGATAGCTATTATGATCAACACCCTTTTTCTGTACTTCCAGAGGATAGCTAGTTATGATCAACACCTTTTTTCTGTACTTCTAGAGGATAGCTAGTTATGATCAACACCCTTTTTCTGTACTTCCAGAGGATAGCTAGTTATGATAAACACCTTTTTTCGGTACTTCTAGAGGATAGCTAGTTATGATAAACACCTTTTTTCGGTACTTCTAGAGGATAGCTAGTTATGATCAACCCCTTTTTTCTGTACTTCTAGAGGATAGTTAGCTATGATCAACACCTTTTTTTCTGTACTTCCAGAGTATAGCTAGTTATGATCAACACCTTTTTTTCCGTACTTCCAGAGGATAGCTAGTTATGATGAACACCTTTTTTCTATACTTCCAGAGGATAGCTAGTTATGATAAACACCTTTTTTCGGTACTTCTAGAGGATAGCTAGTTATGATAAACACCTTTTTTCGGTACTTCTAGAGGATAGCTAGTTATGATAAACACCTTTTTTCTGTACTTCTAGAGGATAGCTAGTTATGATCAACACCCTTTTTCTGTACTACCAGAGGATAGCTAGTTATGATCAACACCTTTTTTTCCGTACTTCCAGAGGATAGCTAGTTATGATAAACACCTTTTTTTCTGTACTTCCAGAGTATAGCTAGTTATGATCAACACCTTTTTTTCCGTACTTCCAGAGGATAGCTAGTTATGATGAACACCTTTTTTCTATACTTCCAGAGGATAGCTAGTTATGATAAACACCTTTTTTTCTGTACTTCCAGAGTATAGCTAGTTATGATCAACACCTTTTTTTCCTGTACTTCCAGAGGATAGCTAGTTATGATAAACACCTTTTTTCTGTACTTCTAGAGGATAGTTAGCTATGATCAACACCTTTTTTTCTGTACTTCCAGAGTATAGCTAGTTATGATCAACACCTTTTTTTCTATACTTCCAGAGGATAGCTAGTTATGATGAACACCTTTTTTCTATACTTCCAGAGGATAGCTAGTTATGATAAACACCTTTTTTCTGTACTTCTAGAGGATGGCTAGTTAGGATCAACACCTTTTTTTCTGTACTTCCAGAGGATAGCTAGTTATGATCAACACCTTTTTTAAAAGTCGGATAAGGTAACCGAGACATTTATAAATGGTCATATATGGCATTTGTGTAAATTACTTCCACCGACTTGCTCAATCTGACTTCTATGATTAATTAAGGCATTAAGTGCAATCTTGTTAATTTCTTTGTTATGGTTGACATTGTTCGCAAGAAACTATAAATTAATGTTAATACTTGACAAACTGTTGATGTTAACTTTGTTTTGATGGTAGATGTACTGGTATAACCTTCACCTTCATCTTCATCATCTGGTGTAACCTTCACCTTAATCGTCTGGTATAACCTTCGATCACCCTCATCTTCATCATCTGGTTTAACCTTCACATTCATCATCTGGTGTAATCTTCAACTTCATCATCTTGTATAACCTTCACCTTAATCGTCTGGTATAACCTTCGATCACCCTCATCTTCATCATCTGGTTTAACCTTCACATTCATCATCTGGTGTAATCTTCACCAACACCATCTGGTATAACCTTCACCTTCATCATCTGGTATAATTTTCACCCTCATCTTCATCATTTGATATAACTTTAACCTTCATCTTCATCTTCTGGTATAACATTTAAGGATTGAATGTGATTTAATACATATTCTTTGCTATAGAAGCTTTCTTTTTTTTAGTTTTGAAACTAAACCATTAAGATGGGACTAAATAAAGTATTGATGGGGAAACAGTTAATGAAAATGCACTCTTGAAATATATTTTGAAGCGATTTATGTATGGAGTCCATTTCATTTATTGGTCTATCTATCAATAGACAAATTTGTTACATTTTGTATCTAGTTCAATCCTCATAATCAAATTTCAAAACTGAAAAGGATATCTTTTATGGTATTAAATATTATTTTAAGTTTTATTAAAATAACATGACTAATATTTTTTTAGTGGCATATGGAATTTGATGTTGACCAATCAGGGCCATGGTTTAAATGCCTCGTGGGCACAGTAACATGTTTTTATTTCTCTGATTTTTTAGCTCACCTGCATCTGCATAGAAGCAGGGCCAAATAGGGCCAACTATCATAGGGATTAAGGGATTTCATTCCAATTTGGTCTGGAGGATCCCTGGGCCAAGGGCAATCAATTTTGTATACAGTGGATGTGGCCCTCAGGGTAAAGGGGCGGGGCCCAATAGGGGAAATAGAGGTTAAATCTTTGAAATCCTTCTTCTACCATAGGCATTACAGGATTTTATCCCAATTTTGTGTTCATCAAGTTGTCTAGTAGTGCCCGTTACTCTTAGGGTGTATTCATTAAAACAAGATGGCCACCAGGCTGCCATTTTCGATTTTAACATTTGAAGTATGTTCTCCCTATATGTACTTAAAACATATATCCAGGTGAGCGATACAGGCCCTCTGGACCTCTTATTTGTCCATCACATGGTACAGCAGTAAAAAACACACCAATGATAAAGCTTGTTGCAAACATAGTAAAATTATTATATAATATACCAGTACTGTCATTTCAATTAGAGTTATTTCCCTTAAAAATGTTTTATGATATGGGCCAAGTGTAATTCAAAGCATGACAGTGGTGGATCCAGAGGTTTTCTTTGGGCTTCAGGAACCCCCACCCCCACCCTAAGAGTTTTCTTTAAAAATCATGTATTTTCACCATTTTCCTCAATTTTTCCCCACTTGGGAAAACCCTCCCTGGTAATTTGGAAACCCCCTCAGATATGTCTCTGGATCCGCCAATGCAAATTCATACTTAAACTTCCATATATTATCTTTTAAAAAATATTGAAATCCATAAATACAAGTCAGACTGAGGTGGTATATACTGTAGGTACATACTCTTAATGAAATGATACTGTTTGTTGAAAGGGTGAACAAAGCTGGAATATAGTGCTGTCTAACTGCCAGTTTACTGATACCTGAAATAACAATCAAGAGAAACTAGTATACTGACTTTATGTTGGTATGATAAGTCATTGTCCCCTAAAATATACAGGAATACCTGTTACTAATTATATAATGGTATATGTTAATTAAATTCTGTAGATTATACAAATGGATACATACATGTATAGCGCAATGGCATAAGCAATTAATAGTAGACTGTTACATATGATCTGTATGATCATAATTACCTTCGAACATTAGCAGACCTGCAATTATCTTTCTTAATGAAATCCTAATTCAAACTCAAAATGTATGTATGTTAAGTAGGTATTCATTAATTGTCCAAATTTGGGATTAATAGAATCTTTCATTCCTATGACATCTGGATAAGGGGATCCCAAACCAAAGGGGAAAATCTTCTTTTGCCAAACAGTCAGCAAGCCTCCAGTTTGGCATTTTCAGAACCCTAATTTCCCCAAAGGCTGAGATCTTTCCATTTTACCACCAAGAGGTAGAAATTTCTCTTTCCCTTACACTATACATGTTGATCCTATCATACATGTGTGTCGCATTGTTGAGTCTTTGTTGACATTTCAGGTTCAATGCACTGTTGACGTGATGTCATACAATTGTTATGACAGGGGAATCCCCTCACCTCAACTCAAGGGTAAAACAAGGATATGTCACACCAGGAAAAATGTGGATACACCTGAGGGTAAGAGAAATTAAAATTAATTTGTTTTCTGTTGACAGTATAATATTAAAGCAGGCATTACATTGCTTGATTTACATCTGCTTATCCATAACATAGATATGTAAATGTGTGGATATGCTGATGGGCTAGCTAGAGTGGCTAAGGTTTGATAGTGATAGTAGGCAAAATAAAATTTTAAAAAAACATTTGTTTCGAGCTACCATAACTAATCCTAATTTTTGCTGTCAAACTTTTGATATTTTATGCCCTTTCCAGTGTTCCCACTCATTTTCTATCTGGGGTTTTTGGTACACACAAGGTTTGCAAAACGGGGGTACACCAGCAGATTGTGGGGGTACAGGTATGTATTTTGGGGGGTACTAATTTTTTGTTATCTTCAATTATGCACTTATAAAATAAAAACAATGAGAATTATCATATTCAGCATTTATTTTCATTTTGTGATCGATATTTTTTAATAATATTTATTATTATTTATTAATAAATTATTGCAAGGATAACTGCATATCAAGATCCATTCTGTAAAATGTCACCTATGTTGATCGTTAACTTATTTATCCCTTTGCTAACCAAGTGTTATTTAATACACTGATGACGTAACAGCGCTGATGTTTGTTAATTTGTCGTACCTTCTATTAAGTGACGAGATGATGATTTGATATTTCTT